AAAAAAAAAAAAAAAAGAAAAGAAAAGAAAAGAAAGAAAGAGGATCTCGGCTCAGCGCCTGTGGCTCAAGTGGCTAAGGTGTCAGCCACAAACACCTAAGGTGGGGGGTTCAAATCCAGCCCAGGCCCTCCAAACAACAATGACGGCTGCAACCCAAAAATAGCCAGGTGTTGTGGTGGGCTCCTGTGGTCCCAGCTACTTAGGAGGCAGAGGTAGAAGACTCACTTGAGCCCAGGAGTTGGAGGTTGCTGTGAGCTGTGATGCCATAGCACTCTACCCAGGGAGAAATAGCTTGAGGCTCTGTCTCCAAAAAAATAAAAAAGAAAAAAGAAAGAAAGAAAGAAAGAAAGAGGATCTCTTAGCAAAGAATGTGTAAGCTCCAGACCCAGAGCATCTATTCAGAAAGGTGTGCACCCCCTATCCCCGCTTCATTCTCCCTAAGTACCCAGAGCTAAGGTTTCTTCCCAATAGCATGTTCCCTCTTCATGGACACATAGTAGCTTAATAGACTACTTAAAACTGCAGTAGCATTCTGCTCTTTTCAAAGATTTTTACTTGCACGATCCCATCTGATCCTCACAATACATCTGCCAAGAAGGAGTGATTATTAACCCATTTTACAGGAGACTCAGAAACAGAACATGGCCCCATAAATAACCACCAGTTGATGAAGCCAGGATGACCTCCTGCTTCCCAGTGCATTCCCACCCACACACACTTCAGTCTGCCCATAGATAGATGTTCAATGGAATCTGGAATCAAGTACCTTTTAATCTAAGGCATAAGGGTCCTGGGGGGAGGTGGAGTAGGAAAGCAAGTGGGTGTTGATCAGCAGGAAAACCAGCACCTAGTATCTAGAAGTAGTTTAGAAAAGGAGGGGGTGTGGACAGGTAGAGAAATTGGATTAATGGCTGAGGGGGCTAGGTTGCATTAACCATTCCCAACACTATCCCTGGGGAAGTTGTACCCAATACTCAACAGCCAACACCTACAGCAGGTGATTTTGGCAGTGGCAGGTGTGACACACAATATTTTTGAAGAAATCACTGCTCACCCTTAACTAGTGCAACCAGACTTCAGCCCCTGTGGTATTCACTCCACTTTAGGAC